ATAATAAGGAAATTATAGGGCCAAGTATTTAATAATGCCTTCCATCAGCTCCCAACCACATACATGGTGTTCTGCTCCCAGGAATGGAGAAGAAAATCCATCACCAAATTTGGTAAAGAAATTTGGGCACAGTACAATTTCTATACATTGCATGAAGAAAACACTACAATTCACTGCTGAAGCAGCAAATCCCAAATGACTCTCAAAAGGCTCCAGCAGCCTGGGTTGAACTGGAGAGAAATTTCTCCAGCTCTGCTGTCACACGCCGACCACATTCCCCTGCAGTACAGTCAGACGTGCAGAAGTCCCATCAGGTTTTTTCTTTACCTTGCACTAGCACTTCCCTGACTTTCCTGTTGGTACTTATAATCTTGCATTTTTGTGTTTGTTGAGCTTGTGTAACTGTACTCTTCACCAGGTTATTTTATTAAATTAGACTTAATGACGTGATATTTGCATTGCTAATATTTTTGGTGTGCTTTTGACTCTTGTTTGCCTTAAGGTATTGCTGAGTAGGGAGCTGCTGTGAGGCTAGTCCAGTCACAGTGCATCTTCTGCATTACTGGTAGTGGATAGGACCTAAATTTGATTGGAGTAAGTGAAGAGTAACAGGCAGGGAGTCTGGGGGAGGAACCGAGCAGGGATGCACTGAAAGGAACGTAAAGCTTGCCAAGGATTCAGAGTGGCAGCCTGAAAAACAAATATCCTGTTCTTTCTTCAAGCAAAAATGTTTCTGTGAGCATCGTATTGTTTTATCTCATTTATTTCATCTCCTTTAGAAGGCAGCCTGTTATGATTAATTAGGAATTGTTTTCAAAAAGCCTCTTGAATATGAAAAGACGTGCTTTACTTCATTATTATTTGGTCCTGTGAGTAAAAAGAACCATACCAATTTGTACTGGCAGAGTAAGAAAGGCAGTCATGGCCCACTTGGGTTCTTCTAAAGGCTTTCTTGGACAAAGATGTAATGTACTGTTCTGTTTCTGGTGAACCTCTCTTTCTGGGTCAAAAATCACTTTGAGTGTAAACACTGAAAACTCTCAGCTATAGAAAAGGTTCTCAAGTTGGGTTTTCAATTTATGCCCCCACTTTTTCATTTAATCCTGAATATTGTCTGGAGATGTAAGTTTATCATTCTGTTTGATGGTGGTTCTATTTCTCCTGTGTTTCAATTCTTGCTCCATTGAAGGGACCACAAAAATCTGTCCCCTGGCAGACACGTGCCCCCACAAGTCCACTCACATATGCACGAGGATCCCATACAAACAAACTTTACCACTTTCATTGCAAGTGTGGCTGTTTCTCTTTTTTGATACCTTCTACCACCAAACATGCCCCAGGAAATGTAGCTTTTTAACACGTGCCAGAAAGCAGCAGTAGACACCTCCAGTTAATTCCCTCGACAGACCAGCAAGCAATTAGACTATTTGCTCCTTGTCCTTTTCTCTTTCTGGGATTGAGAGAATGCCAAGAGATGGAAGGCTTCTCCTGCTTCCCTCACATTTTTCCCAAAAACCTCATAGCAAGAGCACGTTGTGTTCTCTGATTTCTTTCTTTCCATCTCAGTCGGCAGCGAGGTCTAAACGACGTTTCTAAGCCACAGTTACTTCTGTAATGGGTATTCACCTCATTCTTGATGCACTGTCAAAGCCCCGCGCTATTAGCTTACCATTCGCCCATGCTATTTGAGATATTGAGTTTTAGTTTGATAACAGCTCTTCTCCCCTTCTAACAAGACAAGTTTCTCACAGTTTCAGGTTTTCATGCAACAGATTTCACAGTTGCTTTGGCAATTACTGAAGTTTAAAAAAAAATGACTTTTTACATTGTTTGCTTTTAAAATAACAGCTGACTTTTACTGGCGTTATTCATGTTTTCAGCTATGAGCTTGTATGAGTGTGTGCGCTCAAAACCCAAACCCACTCACTCCCTCCCCCAAAAAAAACCCAAATCCCCAGCATTTTCATAGACGTGCAACACTAGGAACTCATTTTAAAGTGAAAAAAAAAAAAAATAGCAGCCTAAGACACACCTTAAGCTTAAGAGTAGACATTTCTACCTTCCTTGTATATGGTGGTTTCTCATGAGACTGATTGGATATGAATCAGTCGATGAAAATGTATCAGGAATCTTTTTCCCAAACTCCAACCTCATTAGAGTAGCAGTAATGCAGCCCCTCTCCCTGAGCCATGTCCCATCTGTCTGTCTAAGTGATCCATGGCTGCATTTCAGGTTTTGCCAATCACTGTGGCATTAGCAAGCCCTGCCGTGTTAACTTGTTTGTCCATTTCAATGAATATTTACATCGAGATGAAACCTGGTGTGGACTTTCTAATGCATGAAAGGAGGGATGGGGGAAGAAAGACAAAATGCTCCCAAGTGTCCATCAAGGAAAATGTCTTTGAAATAAGATCTGTGTGTCTTCTTGAAAGCGAGAGACGCTCAGTGTCCTGTAGTGCAGATGTGCATAAATGAGCTACTTTAGGCTCTGGTAGGTCTGGTCTGGTTTGGGGATCATGGATTTTACAGAGGACTTACCAGTCCTGGTCCTCTGCTGGGCTGTGAAGGTTTTGCTGAGCCGTGTGTTGCTGCAGCCAGGTGATTACTGAAATGAGAATGGATTGCTGGAGCCTTGTATGATTACTAGAAGTAATACTTTTTTTGCAGAGGAAAGGAGAGTAAGTCTGTATGTAACAACATTATTTTGTTTGACTTCTATTATTTGACATGCTAAGTGTTTATAGTTGCCTATGTAAAAAGTACAGGCTTAGCAAGAAGGCCAGGAGCTTCTTCAGACCCTAAGACAAACTGCAAGTGAAATGTGTTCCTGAGTGTGTGTAATCATTTCTCTGGCTCTGCTCTCGCTATGTCAGGCAATGAAGGAATTCACAGAATCACATAATTTATTTTTTTTTAACCCATTTAATGTGCACTACTATTATATACTACAAATTTAAAACCTAATATGGCTTTTTTATGATGTAAAAGTAAATAATATCTTTCAGAATGCTCTTGGCGAGCGTAGCTGAGATGGTATTTTTCTTTTTTTTTTTCTCTCCCTCCACACTTGAAATCGGTCAGAGTCACCCAGGTCTCTCCTGAAAATAATTAGGCTGCTTTTTTCTGTTTTTAATGGTGGAAGAACATGAGGGAAAGATTTGAAGGTCTGTAGACTTTTGAGGGAAACACGGAGGGGGGGGGGC